TAGGGACTTGGTGCCACTGCCTGGATACTATGCAAAAATGAATGTCTCATCACATTAAAAACTGGAAAGCTATCATGTAATTAATATAATAAAAATAACTACTACATTCCTTGTGCCAAACATCAAACATTTGTTTTAATATTTAATTGGCATAAAACAGCCTGTAATGTGAAGAAGAAACAAAAAAGAGGGATGAACTCTGAGTTTTAGTACCCAGTACCACATGAAACAGGTATATGATGCTTATAAACCTAGCACTCAGCAGGTAGAGGCAAGAGGGGCAGAAGTTCAAGACCAACCATGGCTGTATAGTGACTTCAAGGTCATCCCAGGATACATGGGACCCTGTCTAAAAACAGGATGCCTACCATAAATACATATCGTGATGGCATGGTTTGGGGGCACTACAGTCTGAGGCTTAGGAAGGCCATTGGATTAAGAATGTGTGGAGAAGCCATCTCCTTAGTCCTCCTCAATTGGTAAATAAATCAGAAAGTAGAGACCCACCTACTTAGAGCAGTGATGCTGACTTCAATACAGTACCACACTGAGACATTGAAAATGAGGCAGACTGTCTCCTTTAAACATTTCCTAAAAGAAAGGATGTCTTAAGAGCCACTTTAGTCAAGTTAGTCTTAACAGGACTGCCCAGGAAGTGATTCCATTTGTGAACATGGAATGTATGATGGATGGTGTATGACTTCAAACCAAATATGATCACGAATGTGTGTGCCTTTGTATGTGGTGAGTTTTTCTAGCATTACTATGCATGTTTTCCTTATAAGATCCCCATGCCTCTTATTCTTGGGAAGACACCACTTTGGGAATTGCCTTGCTGCCAGTAATGAACCTTGCCATTTACAAATGCCAGAGCAAGCTGGCAAGTTACCAGAGTAGAAAACATGCTAAGGCTCTTTCTGGACAAGAATCTTCAACTGTAAGGGCTCCCCTCAGAGCATCTGTTGAAATCATTTTATAAGCACTCATAAATATGAGCTTACATGTTTAATGGATTTTTATATAGCTAGAGCTAAATTAACACAAAGAGGCCAAACTTTAATGAACACCCATCTTCGCTTTGAAATCTATGTGGAGAAGTGTCTGGCTGTGCACTTTACACTAGACCAGAGGATCCCATTAAATACTGACAGACCCTTTAGAAAAACAAATTTTATTTGTATACCATAAGGTCTGAGAAATTATGAAAAGGTTTACCATCTAGAACATGAAGTGAAAAATAAAAATATGTAACCATAAGTTCATACCATGCTTTTCAAGGTCAAGCTGTAAGTAAGATCAAGTCCATCTTCAGAACCCTAATGCTTGAATTCACCTAATACTGAATGCATTCATGTCTATCATGAGTGAAATGAATTGCTTTTTGATGATATTTCAGGTTAATAAATTCATAGCTTCCTTTTACCTCTCCACCTTTATATCATAGTATATCATTATTACACACTATCTAGAATTCAATCCCAAATAGTACAGCTAATGTGCTCACTGCAATTAATATTTATAGGTTTTGTTGTCTTATCAACAAAAAAAGTAACATATTACATTAAACCAAACTGAAAGGATAAAATGGGACAATACAAAAGATGGTTTACTCTGCTGAAAACATTTAATATCTTTCTAACCACAAGGGCATAAAAACACCATCATGATTTTGTAAAATACAATTCTCAAGTTATTCTAATTATTTGCTGTATTTTTCTTTGTGACCCACATGCTGTACATTATAACATAAAAATTTTAATTGCTAAAAGACATGGTTTTCTGTCTAATTGATATTACTCTTTTTTAATCTTCTTTTTTTATTGCTTTTGTTTGTTTTATAATTGGATTTTACATTGTAGCCTAGGTTAGACTCAAACATGGGGCTATCTTCCAGTCTTAAAAGACATCTCGATCTTATTAACAAGAATCCTTGTCCTTACATTTGAGCCATCTTCTACGAAGATGAAAACAATCACAGACAACTCTGTGGCCTACTTAAGAGATAGCCTCAAGCCCTATCCCCACAGGATAATGCATATTCGGCATCTCTGTGGGTGGCTATGGCCCCTATGCTATAAATTACTTGGAGTGTGGCCAGTGATTGTACTGTGAGGCTGAACACTAAGATGACTCTAAAAAAAGCTGAAACCCACGATGATGAGTATTCCAGTGACCATGCAATGGGTACCATGTAAAACCTAATTACAAAATTCTAGGGTCTCATTTCTTCCTTGGTCTATTAAAGTCACTTTTTAAACTGTGCTATTCTCTATATCCCCAGTCGTTCTTACTGTCAATGCTACAGTTTGAGGGCAGGTTTCTAATTATTTTTATTGCTGCTTAAAACTAGAACTAAGTAAGAGGCAATGAAAATAAAGACTATTTTGAAGGTAGAACCAAGACTACACACAACTAAGTCCGTATTATGCGGGCCTGGGGAATGGGTGGGATGTTAGGAAACTCTTCTGCTTGCTGCTTGGATGCTCTGTTAGATTACCAGTAAACCAAAGCTTGCAGAAGAGTACATCAACTCCACTCATTTTAAGCTTGAGGAGCCTATAAGTTGGAAAGTCAAAGCATCCTATATTCATAACTGAAGTAGAGAAGAAACTAAGGGCTAGAGACTGTCACCCTAGTCCTTTATGTCTGAAGCCATATTGGCAGGGAAAGGTCATGCACTTGTCCTGAAGGCTGAAGGAGGAGGATCCATTAAACCTACACACTGAGTACCAGCCTTGGCAAAATATCAAGATCCTATATCAAAATACTGATAACTTCTGGATCCTGGTTGTCTAGTTAATGTTTCTATTGCTGCCACAAAACCCCATGACTAAAGGGTAAGTTATGGAAGAAAGGGTTTATTTGGATTACCTATCCTTGTTGCTGTTCATCACGGAAGTCAGGACAGGAACTGAAACAGGGCAGGAACCTGGAGGCAGAGCTGATGTAGAAGTCATGACAGAGTACCAGTTACTAACTTGCTTCCCATGGCTTGCTCAGCCTGCTTTCTTCTAGAACCCAGGACTTCCAGCCTAGGGATGGCACCACCTACAACTGGCTGGGTCCTCCCCCATTGATCACTAAGAAACTGTCTTACAGCCAGATCTTATAGAGGTATTTTCTCAATTGCATTTTCCTCCTTTCAGATAACTCTAGTTTATGTGTCAAGTTGACACAGGACCAGCCAGCACACCAGGAAAGTTGAAAAAGGAGGGAAAGAACCCATAGAGAATCCTGAATGATACCCACATTTTAGAGAGGGGGCCAGGAGAATGAAAAAAGTACACTGTTAAATACACATCACAGGAGATTAAGTGACTGGGGAGAATGGTGAGTGGATAAAACACTTGCTACACAGGGTGAGGACCAGGGTTCAAATCCAGGAACCAAAGTAAATGACCAGCAGGTGTGGTAGCTGCCTGCAATCCCCAGCATGCCAGGAGCAGAGGAGGCTATTCCCACCTCTACTGCACAGGCTAGGTAGCTAGATTAGCCTGGAATCCAAAGCTCTGGGTTCAGAAAAGAATCCTGCCTCAACAAATAAAGTGGTGATCAAGGAAACACCCAGTATCAACTTTGGTCTTCTACATACAGCTTTCACACATTCCACATGTCTGCACACATGCACATACACATATGCACACATGTACAGCCACAAACATGTTACACACACACACACACACACACACACTGCTTTGTACCACATTTCTACACTAGACCACAACAGAGCAGAAAATAAACCAAGATAGAATCACTTATCACCAAGCCGAAACTAACCTGTTTATCTAACCTTTTGCAGAAATAAAGAATTAAAGAGATAACAGACAAATATCCCAGGATAATAAAATTCCTCTGCTTTAATCTTAGCACACAAACATTACTCTGGTGCTAAGCAATCATTTATGTTCCTACTGTTCCGTATTCCTGCCCATGCCTTACAGGGATAGAGTAGCTCTGAAAGGACGAGTCTTCTTTTGTTTATTGCTTCTGCTTTTCCATCCCTTCTGTTCCTAAATAACCAACGTTATACTCAACGTTATACTCAACGTTATGGAACTGTAACAATTCCAGAAACTAGAGTAATTTGGTGACTTTCATAGATAACTCAGGAATAGTGTACCTGCAAGCACATATGAGCTACTCATCAACTACTCCCTTCTTCCTCTGAAACCTGTAAGAAGAAATGCCTGCTCTGCTATGTACGCCCTTTGTCTGCCTGTCTGTCTGTCTGTCTGCCTGTGGCATCAATGTCTCTTCTAATAAATCTCTTATAAGGACAATCTATTTCAGTGTTCCTTTTGAGCCTCCAACCTTTCAGTCAACAAGATTGGATATCATATGGGACCCTGTTATCACAGAAAGCAGTGGGGATAGAAAATTAGAAGAAGAGGAGGAGGAGGAAGGAGGGAGGAGAGAGAGGGGGTATGGGGAGGAGATGGAGAAAATGGAGGAAGAAGAAGAAGCAAGACAAGAAATAATGGGGAGATTTGGCAATGTTAACATATTCCACCAGACACAGGATATCTGGGGTGATCAGAGACTCTACTCACGACGGGCTTTTGTTCTGTTTTGGTTTGTATGATTGAACAAGAAGGTGAGCTTACAAGGAGAGGACCCTATCAAAACAAATTCTGCTACCAGTCATCCAACTTCTCCACGGGTTCTAGATCTTTATATACTCTGGGCTGTATTTTCTCCCTCAGCTTAGGCAGTATATTTCTAAACATCTATTAGACCCTCAAGAAACTAAACAAACGACCATGCTCCTCAAGGTTCCGCAGAAAAACTAAAACATTTCAAGTTCTCCAAATGTTGTACCTTTTGTGGTCCTGTAATTATCAGCTATGTGTCTGACTTAAAACAGTGAGATTCAGAGGAAAAGCACCCCAACAATGCTGAGGGAGGTATCTCCCTCACCTGCCACTGGTAGGAGGGAAAACTACAACTCCCATGAGAAAGTGGGGCCGCGGAATCCACAACTCCCAGCATCCTCCCGGAGACCCAAGATGGGCAGGCTAGTAGGCGAAGTGAGGCCATAAATGTCTGCGGAAGCTCTGAAGAAGCTTTCTTTCGAGATAGCAGCATCTGAGGAGGAATCTGCGGCCCCGATAGAACAACAAGATGTGGCATGCGGTCTGGAGAACTTGCCTGTCAGCTTGTGGCCTTTGGGGGCGGGGCCCAGGCCCAAACCTTTCCAGGTAGAGGCGGGACTAAGTGGCTGAAAGGGTTGGGGGTGGTGCCCTCTTCTTTGGGGGCGTAGCTAGAGGGCTGATCACAGACCTTAGGGGCGGTGCTAAAGGTCTGTTCCTGTTTTCCCCCGGAGGCGGGGCCAGTGCCCTTCCTATGGGGGCGGAGCTAGAGGCGGCTCACAGAACTTAGGGGCGGTGCTAAAGGGCTAGTCTATTTCCCTTCTCTCCCTAGGCGGGGCCAGCGCTGTTCAGGACTAGGCTAGAAGGTTGTGCGTGGCTCCTCAGGGGCTGGCTACAGGGCTCTTCTTAATTTCCCCCAAGCGGAGCCTGCACCCTTCAATGTTGGGGCGGAGATAGAGGCCTGCCCACAGCCTCTATAGAAGGAACCAGAGAGCTGCTCATATCTTGAGTAGTTGAGACCAACGCCCTTGTAGGAGCGGGTCTAAAGGGGAGTGGGGGTGGGAGATGGGGAGGGGGGTATTGCACACTTCACTGCAGAGCAGAATTCCAGGGCTGCTCACTGCCCCAGGGGGCGCTAGGGCTCCTTTCTTAAAAAGCCGAAAAAGAGAGACACATAGCTCCCCCACGTGGTAGTAATTGTCAAATTGGCTGTAACAACAGGCTTATTTTTTTTCCCTGATATTTTTAAAGTATTAGCACATGGGGTATCTAGTTTTACTATGGCGTTTTAAAAATGTTCATTAGCAAATGTTAATTATACGTAATAATGGGTATCGTAGTGTGTTTTGATGATATTTACCACCACCACCCTCTCTGGTCCCTCTCCCTCTCCCAGTAATCCTTCATCTTCCTAGCTAGTTCCCCCTTTATCTTTCATCTAGCTCGTGTGTGTGTGTGTGTGTGTGTGTGTGTGTGTGTGTGTGTGTGTGACAGAGCCAGTGAATTTTATCAAGGTTGTTTACTGAAACTGCAGTCTTCTTGATTTTTTGTTTATTATTTATTCTTTGAGACTCCCATACAATATGTTTGCCATTCTTTTCCCTCCCCCAACTCCTCACAGATCCTTGTCGACCTCGCAGTCCACCCATTCATGTTCTTTCTCTCTCTAGGGGGAAAATGCTGTCTTGAGAGGAACGTTCTTAAATGGACAGAATTTAATATTTTTCTATGAACCTGTAATAAGACCTTAACAAGGATTTTAGATTATACTGTCCATAAAATGGCGGTCCCCCAAAGTGTGTGTGTCAGAGGTGTGACTTTTTAGAAAGAGCTTTTTCCTCTCTCTGGCTTGTACTCAGAACTTAGTGAGGGATCAGAGCAAACCAGTTTCCTGACTGGTCTTGGCTATCTGACATGTAAGAAAGGCCTGGTTATGAATCTCGGCCTGGAGTCAAACTTAGCTGAGGTCTCCTCCATGCTTTGAGGTCTTGGGCACATATAAATTAGCTTCTTCAACCCTTTGATGCCATAGAGTTTAAGTCATAGTCCCTTGCTTCACAGCTGCTTTGGGAATTACTGTTTCTAGTTCTCTGTAAGAATTCAATAAATGCCCACTACTGCTACTACCTCAGAGCCCTGCTCCAACCTTCAACCCCTTAGACTGTGGCCTAAGTTGCTTATAAAGTAGGAAAAGACCAAAGATGCTGGCAGAAGAGCACCCCTTTGGATGTCAGACTTAGAGGATGACTTAAGCATCTTAGCTACTCCACAGAGCCTTGAGCTTGTTGTTTTCAGAGTGAAAATAATTTAAAACTGTATAGTTTTCCCCCATCCAGTATGAGAACAAATTAGGGTTGCTCTTCCTCCTTTCTAGGGTTTGTGAGCATCAAGTGGGGTAATAAATTCTATAGCAGATTTCAAAACACAAAGCAGGATTTTAATGTGAGAAACAGTACCCTCTCATGTATGTTTTGTAGCCAACAATACACGTGTGCATTTGCATCGACAGTTTATTGTTAATAACACAAGTAGATAATATTCTATGTACCAATGAGTCCTTAAGGCTTGGTCAAGATCAAACATTGCAGGATGTCTGCTAAGACCACCTATGTTTTTTCTTTATTCACCAAATAGTTGAGTGTCTATAATATACCAGGCAGTGTATTAGGTGAGACCTAGAAGATGACATCATGTGGTTGAAGAAGACAGAATTTGGTTGCTTTTGTTTTAAGCTAGAAGTATCTAACATGAAAGAAAAAGATTGTTCTCTTCTTAAGTAACTTCAATAAATACTCGCTAAGAACTAAAAGTATACCAAGTGATGAGTTGGGATGCAGAGACTAGGAAAGCATGCTCCCTCCCCTCACTAACAGTGTGATGATCCCACACTGGATTTTAACTCTTTGTGATACGGAATGAAGTGTGTGTGTGTGTGTGTGTGTGTGTGTGTGTGACTTTAAAAAAAATTCAGTCTTAAATTATATTTTTCTTTGCTGTCTCCTCTAAGGATTATCTATAAAAACAGTTGGCCTAATGCAGTCTCTTAAATTAGCCTACTTTACTTTATGTACAAAAATAACTAAGAATAACTTAATTAGCCAGACACTTGCCTGTAATCTCAGCACACTGGATGTGGAAACAGGAGAGTTGTGAATGTAAGAGCCAACCTAAGCTACATAGCAAGACCCTGTCTCCAAAGCCAGTTGCTGAGAAGGTAGCTTAATGACGAGGTGCTTTATGCTCAAGTTCCTGGGTTTGCTCTCCTGCGGCATCAAGAAGTTAAAAGATTCTATTTAAGTTTCTTATTTAGAATCCTTACAGTCTGTAAACTCATTACAGTCATTACTGTCCATAAACTCAGGGGATTTGATGTACTAATCAGTTTCCAAATTAAAATAGGTCTCTATTTTTTAACGGAGTGAGGGAGGGGAGAAAAAGTGCCATATGATTGAGTCTTAGGCCAACTGTTGAGGGGCACACATGAAAGTCAGGAGAGCAAAACTGTTGGGAAAAGATTCCTGGTGTCGTAAAATGAGATAAAGAAAGTAAAGGTAAGTCAGCCAGGCAGTTTTACCTTTTGCAGAAGGCCCACACCAGCTGAGCAGGTTCACCACAGAGGGCCCGAGTTCAGTTATCTAAGTCTCACTCCATTGGCAGCCCAACCTCACAATCTGACATGATTGGCTAGCTCATAATGGGGGGGGAGGGGATGGCTGCTATGGAGAGTTGAGTTCCAAGAATCTCTACTATCCAAGCTTTGGCAAAATGGACGTATTTACAAGAGTTTCACAACAGGGAAGAGTTCATAGAATATTGGCATTTTGGGAGACTAGCTACCTCTGAGAGAAAAGACTGTTCCTTGGAAAAGATAATCCACATGCTTAAAGACAAGTCTCAAAGCTGCCCAGGCTGTCTAGTGGTACCAGTGATGTAGGATGCGTGTGTGTTATGGATACTGAGGATGCAATGTAGAATCATACATGTGCTACACAAATGCTCCATCACTGATCTCCACGCCCAGCTCACCTTCAGCTCATTTTTCCCCATTATATTCCACAGACATAAAAGGAATCTTACAAAAAGTCAAACTAGCTTACTTATGCAGACCCTGGCTCATGGGCTCACACAACCATTAAGGCATGAAAAACTCAAGGCAAAAATAATTTTATGTCTGCTTTGCTCTGGGGTGCCATATCAAGAGAAAAGGGCACACTGAAATGTTCAGATTAGAAGCCAGCATAGCCTAACATCCTCAGGGTTGAAAGCCAAGGAGAAAATAAACTAATTGGTTTTCTTGAGCCAAGTCAGGTCTAATCATTTGTCAGGTCCCTCAGATCAACTTCAAACGTTATTTTTAAGATCTCAATTGGGCCTTGACCAGAATTATCTGGCTCACGGTCTCCTAATAGCTGCTAGAAGCAAAACTTACAACATGGGAGGGCACGTACAAGGATTCCTGTAGCTGGATTTTGAACACACCCAAAAAAGGAAGAAAGGAAGGAAGAAAGGAAGGAAGGAAGGTTGGTCCTCACAGTACTTCCTTAAGTATCCCTAGGATTCAGGAAACTTCCTTAAGATCCATCCTTATGTTTAAAGTCCTAGTACCATACAAACTTGCACTTGAGTTTCTGGGGCTCTGATACAGAATATTAATCAGAACAGTCCCAACTTACAGTTGAAGGTTATCAGGAGCTGCAGTGAAGCAATCAAGACAAACCGGATATCTGCTGTGTGCCCATAACTACATATTAGAAGGACACTTAATGACACACCCCAGAACTCATGCTTTTCCTTCAGACACATTAGTCTGAAAGATGACACCTACCTGTTTAACACAACCCATTGTTAAGGCCGGTTCATGCTAGCCAAGTTCAGAGAAAGATGGAATCATCATGACCAAGAAGAGTCAAGACAGAGTGTTTATCTTTCAACACGCTGTATGCTGTTCCTACTTCAGCTTCCTAGACAAGCACTACTAATAAATTCTTTCTCTCTTAAAGTTTTTGTGGTAAAAAGAAGATTGGAATCTCTACTCAGGCTTTGGTTTATCAGGCATATTTCCCACTGATCGTGTTGCATTCGTTTAAAACGCTTGCATATGACAGTGCCAGACTGGTAAATGTTCCTTTCTTGTCCTTCATGTTTTTCTGCTGATACCGAATCCCACTATCTGTGTATGACCATTAGTGAGGCAGTCTTTGTTGGTAAGTGAAGGAAGGCTAAGCAGGGCCAGCTCTCATTCCCTCCTCTCAAAATGACTAAGTCACCAAGGATGGGAAAGAAATTTATAGACAGGGTTTTTGTTTGGATGTTTACAACTAGGAAGTTTAGCTCCAGAACCTTTTTTTTTTTTTTGACTACCTACTGCAATGCCTGTTTAATTTTTCCTAAATGTACATGCCAGCCCCAATTGTAATTATTTAGATTCTCTTATATTTTCCTTTATCAGTGAGATAGATTGATTAGATAGGTAGTAAATGAAAGGTAATATTTTTATAGCAAGCGCCACACCCTGAGTAACATTATCTCTCTAGGAGTTTGTGAAGACCACCCCCAATATGAGTATTTTCCTTGTCATAATTGTTCATCTAAAACTTACCAAATCCTTTACAAGAGTCACCGTGGTGATGTGAGCCGGGCTCACATTTTGTATGTGTCTCCAGAACAATCCACGTTCTGCACTGAGAAGCCCCCATGGCTTGGCCCTGTGTTCGTGGCCACAGTTGGGAGATTTTTTGCCTGAACTGCTGCAGAGTTTGTTAATCTCAGTTGGAAACCTCCTTGTTCCTTTACATCCCTGACTACATTTTCTAGCTGATTCCTACCACCACTTCCAGCTTTCGCCCTACCTTTAATAGCCAGGACTTCCTTGATAACATAAAAGATCCCTAAAACTGGCTCAAGCAAAGGAGGGGCGGTGGAAATTGCCTCACATAATGCAAATGTCCAGAAGTGGCTACCATAGGCCTGTCTGAACCAAGACTCTAATGATATCTAGTAATGTCTCAAAACTACACTCCCTGTTTGTAGGATAAAAGGTCCGAGCCCACTTCAGGGTTTCAAACCCCACCAATCCCTGAGCTTGAAAGCTTACCAATCTCTGAGCTCAAAAACTCACCAGTCTCTGAACTCAAAAACCCACCAGTCCCTGAGCTTGAAAACCCACTGATCCCCAAGCCTGAACACCCACCAATCCCTGAGTTCAAAACCCCTGCACTTGTCTTGAAATCCCACCAGTCCCCATCCTGGAGAACTCTACCCTGCGAGAAGCACTATATATAACCTGCCTTCTGCTCAGTTCCCTGCTCTTCTCTCCAAGCAGAAGACTCTCTTATGTCTCTCCCAATAAATCTCTTGTGTGACGTTTCTTATGCGGTGTGACTTTGGGCTCCCTACTGCCAAGATACCTTTCCCTTCAGAGCTATAACATATATAGGAGAAAGCTCTCCCCTTAGAGTTATAATGCTATTCAAACATCTACTTCCCTTTCCAGTGTTTGCCTAAATAGGAGGCCTTATCTAAACTGTAAACTTAATACTGAGCATTCCATGGAGGGGTCCTTCTACCTTCTTTGTATCAGTAATCCCAGATTTGTATTCCTTTGTCCTGGCTTAGGTAGTGTGTCTGTTCACAAACCAAATACTTCCTGGTTCTCTTTAGTTGTTCTTGTTCTCAGGGCTGTTGGTTTTGAGGTGGGATCTCTTATAACCTAGGTTAATCAGGAACTCTCTGAGGCAAAGGACAACCTTGAACTTCTATTCCCCTTCCTTCCATATACGGAATTCTGGGAACAACAAACCTATGTGCCTCCCCTGGGGTTTATGTGGTACTGGGGATAGAACCTGTGGCCTCCTATATGCTAAGGTAGCACTCTACCAACTGAGCTATACTCCCAATCCAAAACAAACACTTGAAAAGAGTTAGTGATACTCTATTTAGTCGGGTCAGCTTCTGGAACCATTTGAAACCCTCATCCAACCCGGAGTCAAGAGTGGAGAGACTTCTGGGAGGGGCTGGGTTGAAAGCAGGTATGCTATAACCAAAGCCCTGGTCTGTCCTTGGTGTCCTGTAGGCACAAGCAGCCTTCAGGTTTAAGAATCCTTGTGGATAAATTTAGTCCACAGCTTTGTATCAGGAGGTAGGGTACAAACAGACACTGGAAAGTGTTACAAGCTGGATCCATTTCAACTAAGACAAAGTGGCTCCTCCTGGTTTGTAACTGATTTCCTAGCATCACAGTTTAACAGTTTCTGAACATAAACATAGGAATAAAATGTCTGATTATCAATGACCTCAAATTATCTCTGAAAAGATAAAGTACTTTTTCATTATAAAGTTAAATCTTTGAAAAGATGGATGATCGCATAAGAATATATTAAATTAGGCATGTTTTTTAAAAGGTTTGGGGGTTTCGGTTTTGGTTCTGGTGATAGGAAAGCTTCAACCTAGAGCCTTTTGCATGCTAGGCAAACTCTACCACTGAATTACCTCCATACCTCAAAAATCATTCCTCATTATAGTTACTTTTTAAATCAGTAAAATACTTTTCTTAGAATTTTTAATAACCTTTCAGGGAGGAGAAATATGAAGATAAAAAGTTAGTAATTTATAATCACCACTAGTCAATGATTACATTTACTTAAACATATATATTTATTTATTCTGGACTAGTAAAATTTCTCAGTGGGTAGAGACACTTGCTGCCAAACTGAAAAATTACCTAGCAGTCTGTATCGTCTTTTGAAAGATACCTGAAGCTCATCTGGAATTTGCTGCCATTTGTAAACCAAGTGTAAGGAATTTCAAATTGTCAGACATCTCTCTCTCTCTCTCTCTCTCTCTCTCTCTCTCTCTCTCTCTCTCT